GGCAAACCTGAGAAGACGGTTAGCTCGAAGATCGCAATGCGCCTGTTGCTATATGAACGTATTGATTGATCTACAGTGATCAGTGTGTATGAATGAGCGCGATTGCGCTAGCTTTATCTTTTCAAGTGAGCAAAATCGCTCGGCAAAATAATGTTATTCTGAATTTAGGGATTCCTGCTGGATCGAATGGAGTACACAAAGTCATATGTTAACTTGAGAGTAGAGCAGGCTTGAATGTGGCACCCGCATAGCCTTGATATAGTACTAATAAAATAGCTACATCTCCTCAACTAAGCGAAATTTCTCGGCAAAATATATATTTTTTTAAATGCCCGATTCCCCTGGATGGAACGATGCGAAGAAATTCAAATGTTACTGGGCAAAGGGGAGAGTACGGTAGGCTCCAAGATGGTAACCCCTATAGAAATGCGAAAATAGCCATATCTTTTCATGTAATCATTATTGCTTGGTACAATATATAATATGTTATTCTGAAACCAGAGGTTCTGAGGAATCGAATGGCGTGATGAAATTCATATGCTACGGGGCAAACCTGAGAGTACGGTTACCTTGAAGATGGTAATTCCTATTGCGCTACAGTAATGTGTGCATTGATCTGTAATGATAAATGTATTGAATGAGCGCCTCTGCGCTTTTTGAGATAACTTTAAAACAAGGCTACATCTCCTGATGTAGGCGGAACTGCTCAAATATATGATCATCAAAATATATGATATTCTGAGTTCAAGGGTTCTGAGGAATCGAATGATGTAGAGAATTTAATATGTAGCTAGGCAAACCTGAGAATACCGGTAGCTTGAATATATAAACTATTGTAGTGCTCTTGTGGTTCTGCCTACATGAGGAGATATATAGCTATCTCAACTAGCGCCAATGCGCTAGTTGAGATAGCTATATATCTCCTCGTGTAGGCAGAGCTGCTCAATAAAATTTAGGTGCAGTAGCTCCGGGGTTAAATGACTACAGTACCTAGCCACGCCCACAGTTAATGCAACCAACCGGAATAGCACCCCCA